TTATTCGAGGCTCCACCGGGGTCATGGCAACAACGCGCTTGTGCCAAAAGCCATCTTTACATGCATATGCCCATCATGCTCACAGTGCAGCCGTATGCCACCTTGCAAGAACACATCAATGCTTGGTGCTCTCAGGCTCTTGTCAAGCATGCATTGAGTGATGAGGCCGGCTTCGTGTGCTTGCAACTTGGCGATGCGCCCAGGCACAGACCTCACTCTTGGGGTGAGCTGCTGAATCGTGCTTATCGTTTGCAGCTTCCGATCTTTCTTCATGAAAATGACATGTGCGAATCCATGAAGTATGAGGTGCACTGGAGATCGTATCAGGTTGCTGCGGTCTTGCTTCGGCGAGGCCCTCGACAACGGAGTGGACATTGTCAGACTCTCCTCTATGCAGCTGAGACGATCTATCTCTGTGACGATGCACAAACTCCCAAGGCGCTGTCAGCTGCTCAGGCTCTTGATGCTCTACAGTACATGTACTTGCTCTGGGTGGTGCGATCGGACTCGACTCACCATCAACCTTCGCTCATGGCTCACTCTGATGTGCCTTGGGCTCCGGTGGTCTCGCAAGTCTCAGTGCAATCTCACGCGACTCCGGCAGGTACTATGGGCGATCTCCTGACTCGCTTCCTGTGACCTGTGGCCTGAAAGCTCATGCACATGTGACAAAGGATGTGTATGTCTCTGCCATTTCGCTGTGTATATATGCCGATGTTTGAACGTGATCTGTGCTCCTTGTAACGACTGGACTGATTCATGAGTGCAGTGCAGTCTCTTATCATTCATTCAGCCCCATGTTCCCACTTTAAATTCCACTTTTTATTTCATTTCAGCTACGGTCTGCATGTTCTGTTGTCGCAGAGTGCATGTCGGGGTGAAGTCCGCGCGACAGTACTCAGATGCTCTTAATTTTCGAGGGCTCTCATTTGAACCGTGCCTCTTGGTGGGCTTGACAACGCCTTTTCTTCGCACGCAGGGCCCTAGGGATAACGCATGCCGGCACCTAGACCAAGAAAGGCCCCTAGGATGGCGATGCCGGCACTGCACGCTGTTGCTTCCGTACTTGTATGTGTGCTGGGACTAGAACAAAATTTGAGACTCCCACAAGAAG